GCCAGAGGTGCAGGGGCAGTGAGAGGATTCACCAGAGACAGAGTGGGGAGCAGAACAGGCAGATCAACGAAGTACACTGCTGAGGGGAGCAGCGGGTCAGGAGAGGTCTGCTGTGCCATGTGGTCACCTCCAGGGCTGGGGATTGAACTCGCATGGAAGTGGCTGCGGCCAGCTTGCAGTGCTGTGCTTTAGCCCACCAGGAAGGGCCTAAACCACATCTTCTTAATCCACTTATCTATTCCCATAACCTGGCTACTGTAAACAGGGCTACAAGAACCATCCCTTTGAATTCGTGTTTTTACATTCTTTAGGAGGGAGCCTAGGAGAAGAATTACTGGGTCATATGGTGGAACTATTTTAAATATTTTGAGAAGCCTCCATATTGTTTCCATAGAGACTGGACCAGTCTACATTCCCACCAACATTGGGTGTGGGTTCTTTTTTCTCCATATCCTTACTAACTTGTTATTTATGGACATGTTGATATAGGCTGTTCTCACAGGTATAAGATGGGGGTCTGATTTGCATTTCCCCCATGATGAGTGGTGACAGGCAGTTCTACAGTTTTTCATGTGCCTGTAGGCTTCCATCTGTATGTCCTCAGACAAGTGTCTATTTAGTTCTCCCCATTTTTTGGTTGGGTTGTTTCTTTTTGTTGAATTGGATGGGTTTTTTGGTAAATGTTGGCACATTAACCCCTTGTCAGAGGTATGTGCAAATATTTTCTTCCATTAAGTGGGATTATTTTTAGTAGTTTCTTTTGCTGTGCAACAGCATTTTAGTTTGATGTAGTCCCTGTTTATTTTTGCTTTTCTTCCCTTGCCACAGGAGTCAAGTGCCCAAATACGTCACTGAGATCCATGCCATGGAATGTCTAACCTGTGTTTTCTATGTATTGTATGCTTGCAAGTCTTAACGTCCAGGTCTTTAATCCATTTTGAGTTAATTTTGGTATGTGCTGTGAGATAGTGGTCTAGTCTCGTTCCTTTGCATGTGGCTGTCCATCTTGCCCACGCCATCTGCTGAAGAGTTTTCCTTTCTCCAGTGTATACTCTTAGCTCCTTTGGCATGGATTAGCTGCCCATATAGGTGTGGATTTGTTTCTGGGTTCTCCAGTTGGTCTGTGTGTCTGTTTTTATTCCAGTGTCACACTGTTTTTATTACTATAAGTTTAAAGTCTGGAGGTGTGATACCTCTACTTTTCCTCTTTTTTTGTCAGGATTGTTGTGGCTACTCAGGGTCTTTTGTGATCCCATATAAATTTTGCTAATGTGGGCCCTCCCTGGTGGTGCAGCAGGTTAGAACTCAGCATTGCAAGTGAGTTGCAGCCACCTCGGTGCAAGTTGGATCCCAGCCCCAGATCCACACAGCACAGCAGACCTCTCCTGTCATGCCCACTGCTCCCCTCAGCAGTGTACTTCATTGATCTGCCCTTCTGCTCCCCACTCTGTCTCTGGTAAGCTTGACCCCAGCTAACTGGCTTAATAAACTCCGCTTACTTGTGCATCTCTGGTCCTGTCCTTTGTCACGGGAGGCAACCGGGTGATTTCGGACCCTAACATGGTGAGCCTTTCACCACCCTTGCACCTCTGGCCTGTATTCCAGTTCCGTATGTCCAAATAAATAAACAAATCTTTTTTTTTAAAAAGTCAAAAATAATTTTTTGCTAATGTTTGTTCTGTCTCCTTGGCAATACCATTGAAACGTAGGTAGGGATTGCACTGAATCTGTATACTACTTTGGGTACAATGAACATTTTGACAATGTTAATTCTTTCAATCCATGAACAGAGAATATCTTCCCATTTCCTTATGTCTCCCATTTATTTTAACAGTTTCTTGTAGTTTTTATTGTAGTGACCATTCACCTATCAGGCAAGTTCGGTGAAGGAATCCAAATAGAAAAAGAAGTGACTACTTTTTGTAGATGACATGATGATATACGTATGAAACTCTTAAGGACCCCACTGTAAAACAATACATTAGTAAAGTGGCAGGTTACAAAACGTCAGTTGCATTTCTATATGCAAAAAATCTAAAAGAGAAGGAGATTAAGAAAATGATCCCCTTTACTGTCACATCAAAAAGTATCAAATACCTGTTTTCATATCCTTCAGATAACCATAAATTTCTGAGGCAAAGAGAATAAAAGACTTTGACTTTCATTCCCTTCATAACACCCCAGAATCCAGTAGAACTAGCTTTAAGTCTTCCCTTTCCTAAGCCAGTCAGTCACCTGTGAAGAGGGATGTTGGCCAGGCCTGGGATAAAGCTTTGCCCTCTGTCCCATCCTGGTGAAGAAAGTCTACATCACTGATTGTGGAGTGCAGTCAGATGCCAACTGCTAAACTCCTTTGACAGAAACATTCCCTTTCACCTGCCCTGATTTTTTTTTCTCTCCTTACTCAATCATTGGTTGAGGGTCAGGTGTAGGTGGGAGGCAAGGCTCGGCATTGAGGTGTGTGCCCTGCCCTGATGGATTAGTCGTAACAACGTGATCTAACCATGGTGAGGAAGTATTAGATTTAATGTCCTCGTGGATCTGGCTACAATTCTAGTGTCTAGTCAGATCACTTGCTTTCCAACTTTACATTCTGCAGATGTGCAGAAAAAAGTCCTCACCTGTACTTCTTATTTTTGTGTATTTACCAGTTATTTCTTTCATTCATTCTAAAATGGCAGTGAACACATTGTCTCAGTCCCAAGGTTTCTTGTATAGAGTACATATAATTAATTCATGTGAATTACTTGCACAATTGTTATTAACAGTTGTTATAAGAATACTAACCAAGGAAGAGAGTAAAAATAAGATTGAGAAAGACTTGTCCCATGTAGTTAGCTGACTGACCCCTATGTGTTTTAGATTGTTAATGTGGGATGCTGCTATTCACTCAGTCTATTTCCATTGTCTGTAGATAAGAGGTCAGCAAACTGAGGGCTGTTTTTGTAAATGAGGTTCTGTTAGGATACAGCCATGAATCCGTTTACTTATAGATTGTCTGTGGCTGTTCTGGGACTACCAGAACACTTTGCACAAGCATTGCTTTGGCCTGCAAAGCCTAGAACAGTTATCATCTGCCCCTTTACAGAAAAGGTTTGCCAAGCCCTGGCTTAGATAACTAAGATTTGCTGTGTTTGGAACTGGTACTTGCAGGAGTGTGGTGTCTACTGGTACATAAGTGATTGTCAGGAGAAAAGGGAACAATAATTCCCCTTCTAGTACATGACGGACATGGCCTAAAATTACTCACCAGCTTTTACAAAGTCATAAATACTAGCGTCATAGACTGTAACCCAAAAGCCCTGATGCCCTCCTGGGAAAAGGATGAGCTGGCAGAGGCTGGGGAACAGCATGATCTGTAGAGAGAGCACTTCCTGCAGCAGCCCAGAGGTCACTGGCATCAGAAATGGGAGAGATGCCTGCACAACCCCTCCTGAGAACAGACAGAAATGATCAGATACCATGGTTAGAAGGGGATGTTTTGCTTTCAGGATTTGGCTTCTGAGGGAGGGCCGTGCTACATACACTTCTGTGCCCACTCCGGTACTCAGCAACAACTAACTCAACCAGCGTCTTTCTCCTAGGGAGGCAAGTACCTGCAAGCTGTAATTCAGTACGGGAAGATAGTATCCTGGTTAGAGATGGAATATGGCCTATCAGAAAAGGAATCGAAAGCCTCTGAGTCGTTTCTGCTCGCCGCCTTCCTGAACCTGGCCATGTGCTACCTGAAGCTTCGAGAATACACCAAAGCTGTGGAGTGCTGTGACAAGGTAAAGTGTCTACCCGTGAGAGGGACTTGAGTGTGTGAGGTAGTCTTACGTACACTTTTTCTCCTGTCTCATACTCAGTCTTCTTTCATTTCCTCTCACTCATGATGAAAGCATTGTTCATGTTGCTTTGTGTTGTTCGAGGTTATTTCCCCCAGTATGAGTTGGGAAATTCAGTGATTTGATTACCATCAGACTTTCTGATGCCTAGACTTTTCAGTAACAATATAGGTTTTCAGAAAAATCAAACAGTTTTCATCCATGACCTTTCTGAAAGCTATTTTGTATCAGATTAGACATTATAACTCCTCAATTTCATGAGTACAGATTTAACTTAGGCCTTTGTGGCTGCAGACTACAACCACGATTGAGGAGATATAAAAGTCGCTTTTTCTTACAATCTTTATTCAATTATTAATGTATAAATAATTCACTTACTAATGATACACATAATTCACTTACTAATGATACACATAATGTTTTGTGTATCATGAACAGCCCTCTCCCATTTTACACTTGTGTCATCGGTACTATTCGGGGGTAGTACTGACCCTGGTGCTCATTGACAGTGGTGTGTACAGCCCTAATATTCAGATGCCAGCCGAGGTGACTGTCATGTAGAGTACCTGGTCTCAGAGTGGATAGAGTATATTACATCTTGCAGGGGAAGCTAATAATTAGATATATCTTAAAGAGACACATAAAGGAATGAGAAAAACCACTATTTTATAAATTGTAAGATTTTTGAGTTTTTAGATTGATTTATGTGTATTAGTATGTTCCCTATCATGTTATGCTAAACTTGTGATTGTTAGTTGCATTTTTAAGACTTGTGCCCTTTTTTTAAGATTTATTTTTATTTATTTATGCATATAAGAACTAGGGTAGAGGGGCAGGTGAGAGGATTCACCAGAAACAGAGAGTGGGGAACAGAACAGGAAGAGCCACTGAAATACACTGCTGAGGGGAGCAGTGGGTAAGACAGGAGAGGTCTGCTGGGCCATGTGGGTCAGCTCCCTGGCCGGGGATCAGACTCATGCTGAAGTGGCCATGGCTAGCTTCATAATGCTGTGCTTCAACCTGTTGCGCAACCAGGGAGGGCCCATCAGCTTTGGGCTTTTTTAAGCTAGAAGCAGGATGAAGTCATTCAAAATTCAAACATTACAGAAACATTTACGAAAATGAAAGTCTATTCATAAAATCCCATTGCCCTTCACTCCCAAGACCAAAGATACTCATTTCACAGCTTCCTTCCACTTTCTTCCTGTAGAGTACATGTGTGTTTATTTCTTAAATGAGAGTGTAGAGATTTAGATAAATTGTTGTGTAAAACATTGACATCTCTCTGCATCTTTTCAGTTCATCATCTCATGTCCCTTTGTTCTCTTTGAAATCCTCCTGGAGCATTGCATGCCTCTTAACTCTCTCTCTCTCTGCTAGAGTTTCAGGCTTTTGATGTTACAAATCATGGGACAGGTCTACATATTTGTGGGACTGTTTCTTCTAAACTCTAAAAGACATGACTATTTTAATACATTGAAGTTTTAAATCTGAACACATTTTTATATTACCAGATTGTCCCCCTTTTTTATTAGCCACAAGGAATTATTTTTATTTTTATTTACCACTCGTGTTTATCCTGTGAATTGACGGGTCACATCCTTCAAGCAGATAATTCTCGATTGGTCGAGATGTGCATCCACACCGCTTCTACTTTGACAAGAGAGCCATTTCTCACTTGTCTTTTAATTTGTTCACAGCATCTTTTCTCTTCAAAAACAAATTAATATCGGCATAGACAAATCTGTCTTTTCCTTTCTAATTAGAAAGATTCTTCCCACTCTGAGATTATAAAAATAACCCTGTTTGGCACCTACAAAATCTACTCCAGCTAGGTTTGCTTTTAAAGTAACAATAATAATCTTTTCATATTCTGGGGTGGTAATTTATTTTTTTTTTTGCATGTAAATTTGCATGGGCTGGAGTTTATTTTTGTGCTTGATATGAGTAAGAATTTAACTCTTATTTGCTACATGGGTAGCCAGTATCTCAGCCCTATTTATTACAAAGTTAATTATTTCCCTTTTGATTTACTTTACCACCTTCATTGTTACTAAATCTTTTTATACTCATACACATAAATATTCTGTTTCACTGACCTATTTTCCACAGGATAGTAACCAAACTTTTAACTGCAATGGTTTTTTTCTTAAGTCCCCTCATGTATTTTTTAATTTTTATTTGACCAAAATTTTCTTAGCCATTCTTGGGCATTTACTTCATCCATTCAACTTTAAAATGAATTTCTCAAGGATCTCCCCCCAAGCCCTCTTGGGCTCTTTTTAGAAAAGTATTAATAAATACAGAAATTAATTTGGATAGTTAATTGTGTTTTGATCAGTAGCCTGTAATTATTGTAAGCTCCCTATGTATTCAGTGTACCTTTTCCAAATCCCTAGGCTAGAGAACTTCGGTAAGTTATTTAAATCACTGAATTTCTTTAAAATTATACAACACAAGTTGTATCTGTCGTCTTAAAACATAGACCTTCTGATTTTAGGCCCTTGGACTGGACAGTGCCAATGAGAAGGGCCTGTACCGGAGAGGGGAAGCCCAGCTGCTCATGAATGAGTTTGAGTCAGCCAAGGGCGACTTTGAGAAGGTGCTAGAAGTAAATCCCCAGAACAAGGCTGCGAGACTGCAGATCTCCATGTGCCAGAAAAAAGCAAAGGAGCACAACGAGCGGGACCGCAGGATATACGCCAACATGTTCAAGAAGTTCGCAGAGCAGGATGCAAAGGTACAAGCATCAGATCAAGAACTGTCTGTCCTCGCCTCTTTGATTTCTGACCAAAGAAGGTTAAGCGAGGATGCAGGACAGGCAACCATGTAGAGGCTTGAGAAAAGGGGGAGAGACTTCCTCTGTGATCTGAGGCTGGCTTGGTCCCAGAGGTGGTGCAGGGCTGTTCCGCTCACGGAGACACACCCTCATGAGGCTGGAGGCGAGGAAGGGCAATTCCCTGCAAGTGTACAAAAGCTTTTGTCATTTTTTTTTTTTAACATTACCAGCACATGAGGTGTTTTTCAGATAATACTTCCTTGCAGAGACTTTGTTTTCCCCAGGAAACTGGCTGTGAGGGGCAGCTTCACCATCACGCCCTTTCCTTTGAGATTTGGGAACCTCGCAATGTGTGAGAGAGTTGTCTGGAAGGAAGTCTGCCCCTATGGTCCTGAGTGCTTCCTCAATCCAGCCCCCTTGTCACATGGACTTGATTATTAAACAGCCTTCCCCTGTGGCCAGCTCGTCATCTGAACCAGAGAGAAGTGCAAGCCCCCACTCCAGCAATCGGCAGGATAGCGCTGACTCACCCAGTCCTTTAACACACTCTCACTTTAGATGTGAGCCATCTTGAGGTCCCAGGAACTAATGGAACACGTCACTTCTTTTTTCTCTAATCCCCTTGATCTCTTATTTCTTCCTCAGGAAGAAGCCAGTAAAGCCATGGGCAAGAAGACTGCAGAAGGGATCGCCAATGAAAAAGAAAGTCAAACAATGGAAGAGAAAGCGGGAGGCCGAGTATGACCCCACGCCTAGGAGGGAAGAGCCCTAACTCGGCCCCTCCTCCATGGGCGTTCACCCAACTCAGGACTAAATGCTGTTTAATGTCAACTTTGTTATAGTCTATGTGATTCTGGAAGCAAATGGTAAAATGAGTAGCTTCCAAAAAAAAAAAACCCACCACCCTGCTGCTGCCCGGTGCCCGCGCTGAGGGGTGGCGTGGGACCACTCCAGAGACAGAACCCACATGGCTGTGAGGTGGGAGAGTGAGCCAGTGTCCAGGTCCTGCTCACCCAAGCTCCTGTGGGCTCTCCATATCCCTTTCAGGTTGCTTGAGATATTCTAACAATTGGAGGTCATTGTGCAGGTTTTGCATTTGATTGAACCTTGATAGCATAGCAGGACAGAAACCTGACTAAACACTTTAATGAATTTCTCCTGCCCTATAGTTGGTCTGAGGAGAGGAGGATGTTTTGTTTTTTAAACGACTGAAGTTCTAGGAATGCAACCTATTGCATTTTTAACCAACAGAACCCACAGTAGAAAGGTGTGGTATCCCTTCGGGCCCACAGCAGCGTCACAGACTTGAAAGCCAGAACCTCAGGGCCACTTGCTTGCTGACTTAGCGCCCCGTTGTGAGTGCATTCCGCCTCCACCCAGCCTGACCCAGGAGGAGGAACGCTGTCATTCCTGAAACACTCTTCAGCAACGATAATGAGCAGGGGGTTTCTGGGTTAGCTTTCCCTGTTCTGGATGAAACTCTGAGATGCTGAAATGATGTGAGAAAAGCAATCCAAATTGTGCTTTTTCCCCTCCTGTCATGCGTTAGCACAGGACTGCCTGCTGGCGCTGCTCCTCTCCAGTTTCATGCCCCACTCTAACCCTCGCTAATAAGAACTTAGCCCTGTGATATCTCTGACCTGGAGTGGACTTACCTACATGTCCATTTAAAATCAATGCAGCTTTCTTTTTTTTTTTTTTTTTAATTTGGTCATCTTTTTAAAAGTACTGGCCCATAGCATATAAAGTGGTTTATGGAACTTTCTTGACACTCCTATCATGCAAAACAAAAATTGAACTTTTAACTACTAAGTAGCTTAATTTTCAAAAACAAAATCTTTGAGGTTGAGAAAAATAAATAGTTCATCTTCACCATAAGGGTTTCACCTGGAAGTCTGACACATACTAGTCTTCTTTCCCTGCACTCATAGCTTCTTCGTTCTGATTGAGTTATGTTACAAGAATTGAGACACCTTCCTGCACAGGTACAGCTAACCTAAGAACTCCAGTACTTGGCATTGGATTAGGGAAAGTCTTAAATACATAGGTGTAGTTGAACTCTAGTTTCTTACGGGTAAATAAGATTAAGCCTGGCTCTCTGGTCCCACCGCCTAAGAAATACTCAAGGGGGTGCCTTTGGAAACCCAAGGAAACGTTTGCTTCATCCTGGAACATCTCACTTTTTTAAATCCTAAAGAACACTGGCAATTATATTTTAGATTAGTCTATTTTTAGGGTGGTTTTAACATAACACTTTCATTGTTAGGTTAGGGCCCACATTAAAACCTAAAAATATAGTCCATTTCCTTTTATAGCAGTTTTCTCTTCCATGAAACCAATGGAATTCAGTTGTTTCTTCTACAATGATAACTAAAATCCTTTTAATATCCTTATTTACACTTTTGTCTTTTTCATGAGATTTCTAAAAGCCCCAGTCTTGCCTCAGAGATATGAAAAGCAAAAGTTGATTTTGTTTACTTAACTGTTTAGTATTTGTGGTTCAGCTGACTGGCGCATAATTCCATGGAGACGAAGACTTTGATTTGGTCCTAAAAAAGGCTAGTTAGCTTTTCTGTAGATAATAAAACTATCCCCAAAACAAGATGATCCCCGAAACTATGTCCCAATGTGTGTTGTGGGTTGTGGTGGGGGTACAGGCAAGAATGTGTGAAGGGGGGAGGATGTGAAAGTGGCTCTGAGCAAAGGATCATGAGGTCCCCATCATCACTCAAGAAAGAACTTCATGTGCTCCTACATCAAATTCAGTAATCTTCAACAGTTTGTCTAAAATCAGCAGATGTCTTGTGAACCATACTGTAGACGGCACGAGAGGTGAGGCAGCATATGAATGAATTAAAAACAAAGTCTTATTTTTTAATTCCAGATGCACTTTTCTTGTGTTCCTTAAATAAATTTAAAAAACAAAAACATGATTTTCCATTGTTCTTGGCTTTGCTTAATAGTCTTCAGGAGTATTTAAGGTTGTTTTGGTTGGAAGACTATGGTGGAGATCATATTGAAGAAATGAGACACCAGAAAATTGGCAAGAGATGCTTTTATCCAGCTCATGACTCATGCACCCTGAGAAATCGGCACTGACTGAAGGTAGTGGACAAGCCACCTTTGTTCAAGTGAACCACATAATCAGAAAAACAAGAGGATTTTGTTTTTCATTAACCAATGAACTGTTTGCCATTTTAATTCATTGTGAGGTGGGTTCAATTTGGGGAACGAAAAAATTTAAGTGTGCCATTTAATAAACATGCGAAATAGAAGCAAGCATGTCAGGTGATGTTTTGTCTTGAGTGTACATTTCCTCTTTCTCACGTAACATATTTCACCAGATACTCGTGGTTTCAGATTCTGAAGGTGTAAAGAGATGACATCACTATACCTTGAACCCTGATTCACACTGGAAGAGAAAGAGGTGAGAGATGGGCAGCAGCGTACAGACAGGTCAGTGCAGGCTCTGACCACCTTTATTCCCCTGAATTCCTTCCTCTCTGGTTCTCATTTATACTCTCTCCATTGCTGTTAAATTATTTGGGAATGAAATAATGCCCTTTATTTGCATGTTTTTCTAGGCAAATAATGATTACACTAGGGATCTTGAGGCTAAGCCAGAGAAAGTTTCCTGGCTGTAAGTGATCTGAGTAATTCGAGGCAGCCCGCACATGCGCCAGAGCACAGGGAGTATCGGGAGGCCCTTTGTTCAGACTTAATGACCTTTTTAGCAGCACTTTGAACTCCCCTGATGGCATTCTCTGAGACTAGGCCCCCCCCTCCCCCAGACTGTCACCAGCACTGGTGTCAAAATACGTTAAGTTTGAGCTAGTTCATCTATCTGATAGCTCAGGTTCCCTACCCAGCTGTATATATTTTTCATCAGCTGGCTACTAAAGTAGAAGTAACTGACAAAGTTTACATAAAAGGATACTTTCTCATGGCTTGAAGTTTCTGGGTACCCTCGGCCCTCCCCTTCCTATTTTACTCTCCCGCATATCTGACATTTGTTTGGGTGATAGGGGAAGGACTCAAGGCATAGTGATTTTAGCATTCTGTTTGCCTAATTTATGTCTTGAGAGATAGCACACTGGCAGACATAATCTGCACATGTGTCGTTAGTTATATATGTCATAAGAAAGGAATGTCACTCTCAAGGTGACCTTTGACAGTATCCTGTTGCAGGGAACTGCTACCTATCAATGGTAAAGCTCAAGTGTAGTTTATAGACAAGCAAGGTCCACAGGGAGTTCCCTGGATCCTTGGAAAAGCAAGAATGTGCAGGATCCAGAATGGCCAGTGGTCATCTAGTCACCAATGAATGCCCTTATACACTGAGGCAGATTCTCTGGTCAAGTGGAATGAGGTGTTGGCAGTTCTTAAAACTCCGCAAGCACTTGGTGGAAATGAAATAGCAGCAGCACTATGTGCCTTATGTTCTTCTGTGGAGTAAAGACAGTTCATCAGTCTGTTCATCAGCACGCACTGAGTAGCATTTAAGAAATTTCAACGTTTGAGTTCGGTTTTTTCAGATCCTTTTCAGTAGTAGGCATTAGATTCTCACCACCACTCACCACCTTGAAATCTAACCGAGGCCAAAAAAAGGCAAAAGATTTTCTTTTGCACTGTGCTCATTTTGAGCAGACACTTAAAGCCTGGCTTAGAATCACCTCACTTTTTTTTTTAACATAGTCAAGGGCAAGCAGCAAAATCTTCAGTGACCTGCTAGTCACTGACAGAGCAGGGTAGATACCAGCTGCTAAGATCAGCACATAGTAAGCACTACCCTGCAGCCACAGGTTAAAGCTGGTTATAACTATTAAACGTTTACTATGTAGCAGTCACTTAAGCCCTCTTCACTGACCTTCCAAATGGAAAGAGAATGTGGCTACTCCTTCGCTTTCACAACCTGAATCAAAAGATTGTGTGGCCCTTACCCAGAATGATGCAAGCAAGGAATTCTGGGACATGTATTTCAAACTTGGTTTAGGTGACTTACAAATACACCAAGTGTCCAAGGCTTTCTTGGAATATTAACTACTTCTGACCTGGGTCTGCTTTGGATAATGTATTTTCATTAGCTAACCCCTTGCTGTTGGCATTGCCTCGGCCTACAGTTTCCCTCTTAGAGTGGAGGACCGGGGTGGTGAAGAGAGCACAGTGGGCTAAGGCAGAGAACTACAGGTGTTTTGGTGGGAGGAAATCTGTGACAGCCACACCTGAGGGAAGCAATCCTATAGTGAAGGGTGTAAAACGATGGTATTGTTTTAAAAAAAAAGTTACCCTCTTAGAAGTTGCTAAGGAGCGCTCTCCCCAGTGGCTCAGCAGGTTGGAGCGCTGCACTGCGAAGCTAAGCCAAGCCATGGCCACTTCTGTGCAAGTTCAATGCCTGCCCTGGGGGGCACCCACTTGGTGCGGCAGACCTTTCCGGCACTCCACCCACCCCCGACCCATGCCCACTGTGCCCCTCAGCAGTGTATTTCAGTCCATCTGCCTGTTCTGCTCCCCACTCTGGCTCTGGTGAATCCTCTCACTGCCCCTGCACCTCTGGCCTGTACCCCAGTTCTGTATGCATAAATAAATCTTTTTTTAAAAAGTTGATAAGGAGATAAGGCAGGGAGAACAAGTAGCTAAAGGCTTGTGTTTGGGGATACAATGGTATACAAGTCACTAAATGATTTGATGTCTGCTCACAGGTAGGCTTTCATACTGAGGATTCAACCTTTCAAGTCTAAAATCTTAAAGCCACATGCATGTTCCATCCCTATGTCTTCCTAAAGATGCCAACAGCCTGAACCTACAGTTAGCAAATTCACGTGACATCTGCTGAGGGCCCAGGAGGCCATCACCACCTGCAGCACGAGTGCACATCAGCAGCCTAGCACATGGTAGACATTCGTGAACTGACTTCTTGGCCTTTCTTATAGGAGCCTCTCATCTCTCTCTCAGTGGCCCTCATTCCTTTTGCTTTTCTGCATGAGGAGGTCAGAACTACATGGTTTCCTAGCAACCCTGCAGCCAGCTTTTGTATCTTGATCCTTGAGCTGGTGTGAGCCAACCACGACTTGGGGGGGCCCTAACTGCAAAATGTTCCTGCAGGTCAAACTGCAGTAATCTTCTATCTATTTCCAGTTACAACAGATAATTCAAAGTTCAACAGTTCATCAGCCTAAACAAATTGAATTATTAAGTAGAGAAGGATTCTGGGAAGAGAGTGAATAGGAAGTTCAAGAATATCTCCCCACCCAGACAACTGCATTGCACAATCTGTCTGATAGAACTCTGCAATCTTTGAAATCTGTTGAAGCTTGCAATTTCCAGGGGAAGGCTTAGATGATAAATTTCATCTCTTCCTCTGATAGCAGCTACCCATCCCTCACCCCCAGCCACACTGCTGGCAGCTTGCATACACCTTGTGAGAGCTCAGGTGGGCAAGGATTCTGTCTGCCAACTGTTAGGGACCTATGCTCTGATTGCTGCAGAGACAGGCAGCCACTCACTCCAGCTCCAGTGACTTCCAGAGGTTTCAATGCTTTATACCTTTTTTCTCCTTTATTTTCAGCTCTCTGCTTTCTGAAGCCAGACAGTAATGACAGTGATACTCAACAACTGCCTCAGTGGGTAGTACTGGAGTGTGACTTCCAGTGCCAGAATGGAGGCTCAGAGATGAAATGTGAGAGGAATAAGTTTACACCCCAAGCTATTCTGCTTAAGAGACAGCCAGTGAAAAAATAAAAAACAGCAAACCCAGAAGGAACAAAGGAATCTGATTTCCAGAGTTACCATGTTACTAAGTTCAAATGTCCAGTTTTTCAGCAACAAAAACTATAGGTCTACAAAGAAACAAGCAGGTAGGGCCCCATTCCAAGGAGAAATAAAATGAGTGTCTCTGAAAACTACTTAGTGACAGATGTATTAGAAAAAGACATTAATAGAACAGTCTGCAGGATGCTCAAAGAACTAAAGGAAGATAGGGAGAAAGAACTGTCCAGGAACAAGATGGAAATATGAATAAAGAGCTAGAATATCTAACAAAGAACAAAAAGTTCTGGCCTCCTTCGAGCCAGAACTGACCTCTGCAGTAAAGCAACAAAATGACTAACTCACAACAGGAAGGAGAGGAGTAGCCGGAGCTATTTCTTTGGTCATGCACATGCGAATCTGCAAGGAAGGGGGTAATGTGGACTTTTCGGGGTGGGCACTGTTCAGACTGGAGTGCCCCGCAAATGGCACACAGGAAGAGCTGTCACCCAGCATGCAGTTGGTGCTGCTGTCAAAAAACAAGGGCACAATTCTCTCCAAGAGAACTAATGTTTGTATTTGTTACAGGGCAAGATGAGGGGTGATCCATAACCCCCAAACCTACCTGCTCTACATAGGTTCTGCCATCTGCCTCATCCAGACAAAACATACTGTCATGCATAAGATATTTAATTAAAAGGAACTTTAGGCCTCCTTTGTGGCTCAGTGGTTAAGTCTCAGCACTATGAAGCTCTCTGCAGCCACTGCAGCACAAGTTCCATCACCAGCCAGGGAGGTGACCCACATGGCGCAGCAGACCTCTTCTGTCTCACCTGCTGCTCCCTCAGTAGTAGGTTCACCTGTTCTGCTCCCTGCCCTATCTCTGGTGAATCCTACACCCCAGCTCTTGTATGCATAAATAAATAAAAATAAATCTTTTTTTTTCAAAAAAGTTTCTCTTAATCAAGTAGAAATGTGTCCACTCCTCAAAAAAAAAATGTTTTTAAAGATTTATTTATTTAGACATACAGAACTGGGATAAAGGCTAGAGGTGCAAGGGTGGTGAGAGGCTTCACCAGACACAGAGTGGGGAGCAGAACAGGCCAACTGACAAAGTACACTGCTGAGGGGAGCAGCGGGCGGGTCAGGAGAGGTCTGCCGCGCCATGTGGG